TTTCCCAAGCTCCAGAAGGCAGGACAAGAAGCAATGGATGGAAATTAATCAAGGAGAAAAGCAACCTGGAATTAAGGAGAAACTTCTTAACAGTGAGAACAATTAACCAATGGAACAACTTGCCTTTGGAAGTTGTGGGTGCTTCATCACTGGAGGTTTTTAAGAAGAGACTGGACAGCCACCTATCTGAAATGGTCTAGGGTCTCCTGCTTGAGAAGGTGGTTGGACTAGATGATGTCCAAGGGCCCTTCCAGCTCTATTCTGATTGATTGAAGGTTCTGTGTTTGAACCCACTGATCTGGCTTCTGCTGATTATAGCCATTCAGCTGAGAAATACTCACATTTGTGAAATTTCCAAACAAAATGTCTATAGAGATTGTCAATCATCCATATCATGGTTGATTTTATTGGCTAAACCAACAAAAACAGCAGTCTATCCACAACTGCTCTAACCTCTGCAGTTGTTTGATCTCATAAATATTATGCAAAGGGAACAATATGGTTTTCCAAAAGGCAACTGGGCTTCCTTGGTTTTTTCCCTGAAAAAGTTTCGCTTCTCATCCAAGAAGGTTCTTCAGTTCTGATTAAATGGCGGGGAATAGAATGTATAGGATTTATATTCTTAATAATTCTTATTCTATAAATGTATTTATATTCTTTGGAATCCTTCTATTGCCCACCAGGCTAAGATCTTCTTAAGCTTTTATCCTTCCCTCCCTTCCTCCAATTATTAAATTGGGGATTCTGTAATGCAACATAACTGAGTCCTTCTTCAAGGAAGCCAATGCACAGCAATTTGGAGATGGTTCTGCTTTGTTGAGTCTTCTCTTTCAACATTTTCCAAGACATAATCACATCTCTCAAAAACACAACAGGAAATACTGCCAGATGAATATCAATGGGGATTCACAATCATCCAGGTCATGATTGTCTCAAAGGCATTTTTCCAAAAGGCAACTGGACTTTCTTGGGGGGGAGGGGTTTCCTTGAAAATGTTCTGAACTGAAGAACCTTCTTGCATGAGAAGCGAAAATTTTTCAGGGAAAAAACCAAGGAAGCCCAGTTGCCTTTCGGAAAAGCCCTTTTGGGATTTCCAAACAGAAGAAACGTTTCTGCATCCTAAACTCAGGATCTTAGGATAACCGTATTGTTCCCCTTGCATAATATTTATGAGATCAAGCAACTGCAGAGGTTAGAGCAGCTGTGGGTAGACTGCTGTTTTTGTTGGTTTAGCCCCAACTGTGAAGACTGGAACATCTCTATCCTGTTACCCACTTCTCTTTCCCACTTTTCTTTATGCAGTCTAAATTAGGGGTGAAGCTTCTAACAGGATGCATTTGTTCCATAAATGAAATCAAATTCCTGCAAATCCTTTAAACATCTAACTCCAAATAAGGAAGGTTTCCTTTGAATACAGTTTGATTTCAGTGGCTGGAATCTTATCAGATGGAGCCATGAGATCATTTATTAAGAATGAGTGCAATCTGAGAAAAGTGATATATGGTTTGTAAGCCATGTTGTATCTGTCATATGTGCATATCCTGTTCTGATGCCATAGTAAAAGAGAAAAAAAATCTGCTTTCTTCCTTTGCTGATTTATGGGCACATCTGCCTCGGGGAAGGGACAGAGGTCATTGGGTTGTTCTCCAGAGTTTTTTCCAAAGCAAATTAGTTACCAAAGAAGCAGTGAAAGAAAAGGAAACCAGGTGGATTTATGACAACAAACAAGGAAATACTGGGCTATTCACTAAAGTGATGTGTTTGTAGAGTTTTCCTGCCATAATTTTGTCATTTGGGGTTCCACATATATTAAGCAAGAATGTCCCTTCCAATTTTGAGGGCAATCTTTCTCCTTCCCTGCCTGCCTGCCTGAAGTCTTCAGAAATTAACAAGAATTCAGGAGGGTTACAGTTACACAGGGGCCATTACACACATCCATCCATCCATCCATCCATCCATCCCAGCCATCTTTTCTCCAGCTTGAGCAGGAGGATAGACTAGAAGACCTCCAAGATCCTTTCCAACTCTATTATTCTCAGAGTTGAACTTCCCATCTCATTTCATAGGACTTAATTTCTATCCCCTGTGTTTATCATGGATCGTCTCCAAACCCCTTCAAATCCTCTGAATCCTTCTCAACTGGACAGCATAGTCAAGATAAGACAAGGTAGAATAACATGGAATAAGAATTTCCTGTCCTTTGGAAATTACACTTCTATTGATGTGGCCTGAAATTGCATTTAGCTCTTTTTTGCAGCCACATCATTACTGCTGATACACAGTTTGCAATCTTCTACATTTCTACCCTCTTTTTCAACTTTCAACTTTCAACTTTCTCCCTCTTTTTAAACAATTTTAATATTTTAATATTTTTAATCCTCAAAGTTTAAATTTGTTTTAAATTGATTGGGGTTTTAATCTGTCTGGGCCAAACTATTTAATTCGATTTTATTTCTGCTTTTTAAATTTTGTATGTATATATTTTATTGTTGGCTGTTCACCGCCCTGAGTCCTTCGGGAGTAGGGCGGTATACAAATCAAATAAAAGTAAAGTAAAAGTAAAGTAAATGTACCACTACCAAACCAACTCTATTAGGTTCTCGTCCATCTGAATTTCAAGCCATGTTGGTCCAGTTCACCATCATGGCTTGGCCTGCCTAGGTATTGCCATCTGCTGTTAAACAGTTCGTACAACATACTAGGCTATGGCAGGGTTCCCACAACTTATGGAGGCACAAATGATGACATCTCATTTAGAGAGTAATCTGGTTGTATAAGTCAGCAATGCAGTGGTGAACCACCTTGTCCTAACTGAAGGAGCACATTCCATGAAGCAGGCCCAGCTCCCAGTCAGTTTCTACTTCCCCTCCCAAGTTGTAGTTCCACTGCGTAGTAATTTGTATCCTGACATGGGTATATTCACACAACTTCTTTCTAGTAAGGTGAACGTGGTTTCTTTAGTTTTAACTTAGAATACTGTGCAAACTATTGTGACTGCTATACCAGAATTTATGGCTAACCATTATGAACCTAGCCTATTTGAAGCTTATTAAACAAACTCTAACTAATAAAGGAGACTATTTGTAGTTCAGGATTGACATGAGGGGTACTTGGTTATGATTTGAGGGATCCTTGATGCTCTCTGAGCTTGTTTGTTTTCTTGCAGACGTTTCATTACCCAAACTAGCACTGCTAGCATTGATGAGGTTACCTAGTTTGGGTTAAAATATCAGCAAGAAAACAAGCAAGCTCAGAGACCATCAAGAATCCCTCAGATCATAACTAAATACCTGTGAATGTGTGAATCCAGCAAGTATTTTCCCTATCCTTCATCAACACTGATGGCAGCTTCTGGTAAAAACAGGAAAATGCTCTGTCTAAATCAGGGGTGTCCAACCTTGGCAACTTGAAGACCTACGTATGGACTTCAACTCCCAGAATTCCCCAGCCAGCTGAAGACCACAGGTCTTCAAGTTGCCAAGGTTGGACACCCCTGATCTAAATGATCAGGACATCATATAAAGCAGCTTATATGGTAAAATAGGAAATTCCATTCAGAAACGCCTTCATTTATTCTGTATACAGAAATCTTTAAGGAAATTGGAGGGGAAGGTACTAAATCCCACAAATGCTGAAAGTATAATTTAATATTTGAAGTGATCAAATCTATCAATGTCTTGCATTCAACAAAGCAAAACCATAGTTTAGGTTTCACAATTAGTGGGCCACTGACTTCAATGGACTAAAAATAACACAGGTGGAAAAACACACTAGTAAATATTTTATTTCTGGTCTCTCTGAGTCTTTAAATGGACCTACCTGTACAGCCTATAAATTAATTCTTCACCCGAGGTTGTTCCAGAAAAATCTTCAAAATCACACCCAAGCTTTTCCCAGCTGATGTGGGAATCTTTTTTTTTTAAAGCAGAGAACAACAAATCTATTCCCTCTGCACAGTTAAAAAGATGCCTCTAAATTCAGAAGACAAACATCCCAAGCTCTTTGACTGTGTGCTGCTCAAAGAAAAGCAATCTTCAAACACTTTTCACCTCTTTAAGACAGAGTTCCCTCAAAAGTGTCAGGTCATTCACAAAAGTCAACTAAGTAGCACATCCTTAAGGGATTTTATTTTATTTTTTTTCCATCCCTTCTTATGATGTTTTGGTTGCTTGTCAAGAAACAGTGTCAAAACAGTTTACACCCCAATATTTTTCTCCAACTACTCAGAGAATACAAATCAGCTAATATAACTCTGAAAAATGAAGAGGATGAAATGGTTTGTGTTAACACTTTTTGTTTTTTAAATCACATGCTTTGTCTGCCACAAATTCTTATTTCTTTCATTAAAAATAATTTTATGAGTTCTTTTCATGAAATTGGAGATAAATGCCTTTTAAACACAAATTCATTCAACTGTTGAATGTTCCATTAATTGCAATTGAACATAGGATCATCTCTCTAAAATTAAATGCCCTTGCTCTTTGTGATATAAACATCTTTCACATCTGGAATGAATGGCTGGCTTCACTCATGAGATGAATATTGAATCAGTTTAAAAGCTCACCTACAATGATGACCAATGAGTTACAAACCACACTGGATGGATTCATTCACAATGCTAGTCTTTGTGCTACTTTCTCCTCCCATCTTTTAATGATAAATTATCATTATTGTTGTTTATTGGTTATTCCTTTAATGGTTACTGGTTTTAAAGTTTGTAAGCCACCCAGAATTGCCTCTAGATGAGATGGGTGGCACATAAATCTAATAAATAATCCCAAATCAAAGAAATCACATTATGATTTAGTGTGGAGTTAGTTGTACTTTGTTTTTCTGAAATTCCTAGAACAAACACACTGAATCCATGCCTAGCCCAGGACGGGAAGGGTCTGGGAGAAATCGGCAAGCCAACAGAAAGGTGGGGTTGCAAGATGACCAACCCTTCATTTGAATGCAAATGTTTGGGAGTAGCCAGTTATCTTTGACATTAGGCAGATCCTCAGTCCACTGCTAGCCCAGCACCAGGGATCCTATTGTCAAGGATGGGTAGTAAAGAGACCTCCTGAGTCATCTGCAAAACCAGTCTAGGTTTAGGCTTGAAAAAGAGAGAGAGAGCGAGAGCAAGAAGAGGACGTGTGAAATCAGCACCCCCCCCCCCCAAGGAGCAGGATGCCTGGCCAAGAAGAAGTTAGGGGATGAACTTCATCTATGTGAGTTATATTTTGGAAAAAGAAGTCAGGATGTATCCAGGTTCTGTACGATGCAACGGCAGCAGCAACCTACCAGCACAAAACTTTCCTTCTGCTACACCTTATGTAGATTACATAGGATACCATCATTCCCAAAGTATGGAGAATCGTGGACAACCTTCAGGGACTTGGGGAACACCTTATGGGCTGCCTAGGGAAGATTGGGGTGCTTATGGGCCAGGAACCTCCAACCCCATAAGCTCCCCCCAGATCAACAGGTCTTCTCCTGGACAGGTTTCCTTCTCTTCTGCTGATTACAGTTCCCTGAACGTTGCTGGTTCTGTGACTTTACCTTCTCTGGACACCATGAATTCAGAGGCAAATTCCCCTCCCCTCAGCCAGAGGCACAGCTCCTATGAATGGATGAGGAAAACGGTCCAGTCTACTTCAACAGGTATGTTCTCCCTTCCCCTTCAAAAACGTTCCTCATGCTGGCCACTTTCTGAAGCCAAGGGACAGATTATCCCAAACTGAAAAGGGGTTTTCTTTCTCATCTTCTGATGGGGCTCTTGAGTCACAACTTTGATTTAAGGTCTCAATAATCTGGTTCTCCAAGCAAATGATGGCATGGTGTATTCATAAAATGGGGCTCCTTTAAGGGGGAGGAAAAATGGGCTGGCAGAGGCAGAAATTGATGTTTTAAAAAACCCTTCAACTCCTGATACAAGATGAGGGATAGAATTGCTGTGGCACTGAGTGGGATCTGCTCCTGAAAAGGTTAGGATTTGCATATGTTGCTTATTAATGTTGGGTTGGCTTGAGGCTTGAATGCAAACCAGCTAAACAACCCTTCCAGCAGCATCTGATGAAGTGAGCTGCTGCTCACAAATAAATCAGGAAAAAGTGGTAGCAGACTGATTTTGGATCTACTGTAGACCAACAGTTTTCCTGCTATACACAATACACGTTACAATCTTCATTGAAGTCCTATTTATTTCAAAACTGGGGGGGGGACTTTGTGCTCTCTGAGCTTGGTTGTTTGTTTGCAGACGTTTCATTACCCAAACTAGGTAGCATTAGCAGCAGTGATGATGTTCCTAGTTTGGATAATGATATGTCTGCAAGGAAGCAACCTAGTTCAGAGAGCACCGAGGACCCCTGTTTTCAACCCTGAGTTACAAATATTCTCCTTTATTTCAGAGCTTCTTCCTCTAAATCTCTGTGAATGTGCATCAGCCCTTTGCACTTGAAATCAACCCAGAAGGGTGAACTTTGCACCTTTAAAAACTTTTTGCATAACCGCAGAACCAAACTGGCATTTAAGGGACAATGCTTGCATACAATTCATTGCTCACCTGGGTTCATTTTCAGGGTAACCGCCATTAACATTTCAAATGGATGCTAAGGATAAAAGGAGCCCTTGCTAGACGCCTCTCGGAATGCAGGGATCTAAGAAGCAGAAAATACCTTTGATCTCTTGATAGAGTACCTTCCAGAATGTTAATAACAATGGATTTAACAAGCGGGCAGGATAAACATTGCACATGATTTTATAAAAGGCACCTCAGATAGTCTGGAAAATTGTCTAGCTTGATGCTAAAGTAGAACAGGTATGAGAAAAATAGTTACAGCTGCATTAACACTAATATTTATATTGAACACTAATAGAATAGATATCGCTCAGGGTTGAACTGTGGAGTTCTTGGTGCTGAGCTTAGTTGCTCACGAATGTTTCATGAGCCAACTAGTCAGATGTCAAATAATGCCACATTAGTATATTTTAATGAGTTAGTAATAGGCTTCCATAACACTCTACACATCTAGCAGCAATCTTCATATTACATGATATGCTAGATAAGATTTAGTCGCAGTTGTAAATACTGTAGACTGTAAACTGTAAACAAATCCAGTCGAATTTGTTGGGTGCCCCAGGCTGTTGGGTGAGTTTATGGTTCAAAGTAGCGTGAGAACTACAACGCTCTGGTGTTGTTAAATAAGTTTCAGCACAATGTGAGTTTTGTAAATTCACAGATTTTGACTAAATACACTAAATATGACATTTCCTAAGATGCCTTGAACTACAGTATCCAGAATTCCCAGCCTCCCTCATTTGGAAAGTGACTGTAGTATTCTAGAGACATTTGAAGAAATTTGAATGAGGGGAAAGGGTTAGCAAAGACTGTTTTATTACCTGTGTCCTACTTGGTCTGGTCTCTCATCTCTATAGTTTTCAATTTGTGTTAAAATGATCCTCAAAGCTTCCAATCTAGTCATCTTGCTGTAAATCAAAGGTTTGGCAACTTTTAGATGTGTGGATTTGTGGGGCCGGACAATTCTGGGACTTGAGCTCCACACATCTTAAAGTTGCTAAGTTTGAAATACAGTGTTGTAAAGCAATCAACTATGTCAGGATTATGAACAAAAACTGCAATTTTCAAGGCAAATTAGTTTCTAACTAACCCTTTATAAATGATATTTCTTGAAAGGTCCTGAATATATGGGAAAAAACATATTTCTTGAAAGGTCCTGAATATAAGGGAAAAAAAGACTTACTTCAGGGAACTCCCTGTTTTTAACAGTAGCTCTCCAGTTTCTCATATAAATCAAACAGGGTAAGATGGCAAGATCTGCAGATAAGGAGTAAAAGCCTGGTTTGAATTAAATTATCAAAAGATGGCTTATAGAAATCCCTAATACATTTAGCCTGTTGATAGTGTCATAGATATATGGATGAATGGATGAATGGACAGACAGACAGAGCAACATCTAGTTCACAACTTACCCATATAACTTTCTTGACTTGGCCTTCTCTGGCCCCTTTCAGACTGCAAATCCCAGAATTCCCAGCTAGTATGGGTTTTATGGTTCTGAGAATTGCATCCAGAGTAGGCTGCAGAAGAACATCTGGATTCACACAATGCTCAGCTAATCTAAAATAGGGTTGGACAGCTTGTGGTAGCCTTTGGGGAACTCAACCTTTCTGTTAGCATCTTGTTTGAACAATTTCCTTGAAGATAAAGATGATTTGTTTGGCTGAGCCCATATGATGTGAAGAGTGCAGTTGTGTTTTGTTAACCTGGGTTTAGCATGGTGTGAAGCTATAACTCCCATTGGTGGCTGGTGAAGCTGGTGGGCCGCATCTTTGAAAGGCACTAGATGGGAGGTCTAACCAAATAAGAATTTATTTCCTTGTGCATCTGGAGGCCCAACTTTTGTGTTGCAGCAGACAGAGAAATGCTTTGAATAAGGATGTTACAAGACCAGAGAGCCAGTTGCTTCTCCAGTCATTTCTGGAATTCTGGAAAATGTCCTCCATATGGACCCAAATAAATGCACAGTGTGGTCCTGTTTCATCATATGAAATCCGAGGGATTAGTAGTCATACTTAGCCTCACAGCTAATTCTAGTGAAGCTCTTAGTATCTAACCTACTTGGACCAGAAGCCTTCCCTTCAGGCTCTGCCTTCAGCCACAAGAAGTGGGTTTGCAACTAGAACATGTCCTTTCCTTTCTCCTCGGATTCTAAGCTCTACCATCTTCATCTGTGGATGTTATGCTTGTTAACCATTGCTCAAGCCACTTGTCCATCCTTCATGAATAGGTAGAATGTTCTTTCCAAAGCCTTCCTGAATGAGCTATTGTGGGAATAAGGTCCAAAAGCTAGAGACATGGCTTTCTTCAACCCAGCTGCCCAAAAATTGCTTTGACAATTCATCCCAGTCTTAATATACAGAAGAGCAAGGCAAACATCTTAACACCATTTTATGGACCTCTGTCATAGCCTAGACTGGGTTTGTTTTTCTAAACTAAAAAAAAGGTGCTCTTCAGAGAAGAAGGGCTGATTCCATATCTGGGATCCTTCCACTGCTCTTCTCTAAGTGTGCCTCCCTCTCTTGTTTTTGGGAGAGGAAGAATGCACATTTTGACATAACATTGGTTGGATTCATGCATTTTGCTAAGCAGCAATATGGTTTGCTTGGTTTGGGCTGTGTATGTTGCTAAAAAGCTATGGTGTATTCAATAAACCATCATAAAATACATAATTTTTTATGGCAATTCTCATGGGGACCTACAAGGACATTCATAAGGTATTGTTTTGATGGCAATACAGACTTTTCAAGGATGGCAAAACACCTTGGAAGTCATTTGTTGTTTGGAGATGGACCATAAAGTCCCTTCTATAGTTGCTATTGTTGCATGGCAGATGGCCAAACTTTGTTGAGTCATTCAGTTGCTTCTGAAGGCTTATTTAGCACTCACAATGCCAGCTGCTCCACTGTGAGGACAGATGTTAGATTCAAAAGTTTCAGGCTGACTTCCACTGAGGTAGGCCCCTGATTACCAAACACAGTTGACCTGCCCACAGACAGAGTTTTCTTGGAGCAAAAAATATTTCGGCAGAGAAACAGTTAAAAAACAGACTGAAGTGCCATCACAAATATTAGCTTAGTAGCACCTCTTCTGCTTTTTATCATCATATTTTGTTATTGGGACTCTCGGGGCCATTTGGGTGGGGACTGAGAACCAAGCCCCACAAAAAGAAAGTCCCATCTAAGATACACTTCCATATTTGAAATGATTAGATGGACAATGCTTCTCATACATGGTAGCAAAATACATAATTTTTATGGCAATTCTCATGGGGACCTACAAGGACATTCATAAGGTATTGTTTTGATGGCAATACAGACTTTTCAAGGATGGCAAATCAGTCATACATGAGTTCAAGATCTTTTTCTGGGCCGCTGACTATAATGGACCAAAACAAAGGGGGAGGGGAAGAAGCACCTGAGGGCAAGACAAGGGGAGATCCAATCTAGAACTAAGGAGAAATGTCCCAATAGTGAGAACAATTAATCAGCAGAATGGCTTGCCACATGGCTTACCAATCAGAAGTTGTGGTTGCTGCATCACTGGAGTTTTTTTAGCAAGAGTTTGGACAGCCATTTGTCTGAAATGGTCTAGGGTCTCCTGCTTGATTAGGGGGTTGGACTAGAGGACTTCCAGGGTCCCTTCCAAGTCTGCTATTCTCAAGGAGAACAGGCAGCAAGAATGGCAAGGCAGTGAGATAAGTTGAGAAGGTTTGCTCACTGGGGTAACCTGGGGTAAGTGTAGGGTTAGAGTTAGGGTAAGTATAGGGCACATTTAGGCAGGCAAAGGTCTTGAGCAATAAAGTCAAGCTTTTCCTCAAATCTTTTGTTTGCTCTCCCCCATCCTCAAATTCATCAGGGAGGGCTACAAATTTAAACAAAAACAACCACAACTTCATGATGCCACCCCATCTTGTTCGGACTTGTCTTTGGATTGTTCCCAGCGACACCTGTTTTCCCCTAGTTGTTTTTTCTCAGTAGAACCAGGTGCATCCAAAGTGTTTTTGTAACATGGTTGTTAAGTGAATCTGGCTTCCCCATTGACTTTGCTTATAAGAAGGTCGCAGAAGATGACACTGGGACACTGCAAGCATGATAAATGTGAGTCAGTTGTCAAACTATCCGAATGTAAATCACATTGCATGCAATGTGATGCTGCAATGGTCATAAGTGTGAAAAATGGTCATAGGTCACTTTTTTCAGTGCCGTTGTGACTTTGAACAGTTACTAAATAAACTGTTGTAAATCAAGGACTACCTGTACTTATACGTAAATCACCCACTAGTATCACTATTCATGGAACATCTGTTTATAATTATGAATTATAATTATGAATTATGAATAATTTATTCATTCAAATCAAATCTCTGTTAATAATCTTAGACCAGCATAAAGATAGTCATTCATTTGACTGGCACATTATGGATTAAGAAGATGATGACTGATGGTGGAGAAGGTTTCCTATCTAACTGGAGAAACATGAATTAGGGGCTGGATTATCCTGGGAGGGTAGAACCAATAGGCTTAAAATATGGTTCTATAATCCATTTATATATTTTCATTTCAATGGGAAATTCTATTTTATCCCCATAAGAGTAGGCCTATGAGGTAGGCTCAGCTCAGAGAGATTGCCTCAACATTGCCCACTGAGATCCCGTGCCTGAAGGTGGACTTGAACTCTGGCCCAACTCTGAACCATTATTCCACATTGGAGTATTAAACAAGAGTTCTCTGAAATGGTGTCTTCCAGATGTGTTGGACTACAATCCCAGAAACCTCAGTCAGCACTGCAGTTCTGTGAATCCTCTAGCATTGCAGTCTGACTCTTAGCTGGGGAAGCCCCTGTGAGTCCAGTGAAATCTTTCCTACACTGTCACTATATGCAAAGTTGTGCATTCACACGTTTTGGAAGTTTCTCCCAGGGCAGATTAACTCTTCACAAAGCAAGCTAACATGCATGAAGAACATTTAAAGACCTTAGGAGAGAAAGGGGGGTACCCAGTTTTTAGCAACAGCACTTTCACAACTTAAATCCATGTTCTCTGGCCTGGTATGTTCTCCAGCACAGATGGTGATTTGATTTCTGTCTATCATAATTAACTCAACATCTCTGGAACTGGCCAGGTGAACAATACCAAACAGTCAATCCTTTGAGTAGGAACCTTTTCTCATATGTGTAAGAAAACATCAAGACAGATACCTGTCTGATTCTACTTTTTTTTTTTTTTTTTGCTTTAATTTATATGCCGCCCTTCTCCGGAGACTCAGGGCAGCTTACAATGCGTTAAGCAACAGCCTTCATCCTTTTGTATATTTATACAAAGTCAGCTTATTGCCCCCACAAACTGGGTCCTCAATTTACCTACCTTAGAAAGGATGGAAGGCTGAGTCAACCTTGAGCCTGGTGAGATTCGAACCTGCAGTAATTGCAGGCAGCTGGTCTTAATAACAGGGTGCTTTAGACCACTGTACTACCAAGGCTCGTACTTCAACAAGAACTTTTTCCTGCCCGTAGATTAAGTCATAGCCTTTAAAAGGAGCTTCTAGATTTAGTATGGATCATAGAATAGATGTGATTAGACAGACATGATTTGTCTCTTCATTGTCTTAGCTGTTGATTTAACAACCTTCAAGCCACCAAATCTGGATTCACAAAACACTAAGCCAAACCCAAACAATACTCATGATGTGCAACCCCAGTCATTTAAAATGACAGACAATGGATAGGATAGAATAGAATAGAATAGAATAGAATAGAATAGAATAGAATAGAATAGAATAGAATAGAATAGAATTTCTTTATTGCAATCCAGGATTAGACTTTGTGTTAAAAAAATAAATGCCAAATTTGTTATTTGTACCTTGGAGCTCATAATCTTAGCCAATATTATTTTATCAGACATAACCCTGGGATATTTTGCACACAAATTAAAGCATAGGTTCTACCATTACTGTATTACAGTCCTATACTTGAACATTTGTGGTCCCTTACTTTTTAATTTTTGGGTTAGTATCTTATATCTCCAGTAGGTAAGAAGTCGAATAACAAATGAAAAATGAACAGTATAGTATATGCTGCAAGAAAATCCACATTCAGATCTTATTCTAATGATTTTAGAATTCTCTAAATGAATAGATTCCATGCAAAATTGGGTTTAAAATTCAGTAGTGTCAGATCTTGAGATAAGTTTCTAAAACAACATGAACACACCAAAACACCAGACACTTTTTGATTGCCAGGCAATCCTGGCCAACACACAGTTTAAAAATTCATGGATACAATTTTACCATGAAAATATTACCACTCATTTAAGATTGAAAGTAAAAACTAGAGTGAGAGGGAAATACCCAACTAACGTAATTTTGATTTGGTATGTTTTAAATCCTTTAAAACATTCTTCAGTTTAAATAAAAATTTCCAAACCTCATACTATTCATAGATACACAGCAAAAATTATCACAATTACAAACTAATTACTGAGGAAATCAGAGCAAACTAAGAACCATCATTTGCAGTCAGGTGTTCAAAAACATTAAAAAGGAGCCTAAAGGGCAGCAATTAAAGGCTGCATTAAAATGTCTTTGATAACTAAAGGTATGATTCAGCCAGTTAAATGTCTCCAGAGCAAAAAAGCCATAACTGAAAAA